GGGCCTATTCCATTAGAGGAGAGAGGATTGGTTTTAATTGTCACGCTGGGTAGACTCATTGATAATCTTAGTAAAAGATATTTTGCAGCATTGATGCTGCTGCTTGTCGCCGTCTTAAGATATAAGATAGCTGGTGCTATTATCATCTCGTAGATGATAATACCGTCAGCTATTGAAAGTTACAAGATTTTTCTGGTGCTTCTCAAATTCACCTCTTACGAAGCCTACGGGGTTAAGTGGAATGATAAATTCCCTTACACCGTCATCACACGTCATCTCGTGCGTGAATATCGTAAATTTAATTTAGAAACATATCAGTAAAGTCTTATAGCCTCCCATGTGTTGTAAATACTGTTCTCATCTATGGGACGGGATTTTGCATTGCCAACTTCTTCCACGTGATCGCATTCGATTTTACAAACCGATACAACAAAAAGAGCCTACTCCGTTTTAAAAGGCCAGCAGCGTATCTGCAATTCCCTTGGTGTTGCAGTTTGTCATGGGCGGCGGTAGCCAATTACCATCATGTGAACCGCATGCTCTTTTACCCCCTCTAATATATATAAAAAATACTTTATTTTTTAGTATTGCGGATTGTAGAAACTATAAATGAAAAGACTTCTATAAAATTTGAGATTTATTTCACGTTCCACGTTAGTTCACGTTTTAGGTTTCATTTTGATTCGTAATCGAGGATAGATGTAGATGTCTGTGGGCCACAGCAACCATCATCACCATCAGGTGGACAGTGTGCTCGTTTGTCATCCTTATCCGGTAAAAAAAACGTAGACAACTCTTTTATTAAATATCCACTATAAGCAATAAATAATTCTAATCAGTTTTATGTAAAAATCGGTGCTTGAACAATATTTCACGTGGTTTCATGAGGTGATGTAACAAAAGATGTCAAAGCGCTGCGACTTAGCAAAAACCTATTTTGCTTTTGCCTTCTATTTCACGATGAAGGTTTAACTTTGGTTGTTGTTAGTCGTGCACATGCACATTGTGTTCGTGTGCGTAGGCCTTGGGAGTGCTCAGTATAGTTCGGCCGTTCAGAGAATGCGTTTCTGACACCTATCAGTTAGTCACGACTAGTGGTGGGCACAACATAACACTGAGTTCGTTACCGTTCCTCCAAAATGAACCGCCGCGTTATTTTTAAGATTATTTTCGTTTCAAATTGGCGGAATCATTTAAAATTTATATTTTAGTAATTTAAGTGGAAACCAAAAAAAGGTTAATATTAATATAATAAAATTGTTTTATTTATTCTTTGTTACAAAGATACAATCTGTATTTCTATGCAATAAAGTACATTGAATTAAATGTGCGTACAGAATATTAAACAGACTCCGATTCGCTTGAGGAGGTGGTGTCTTCATCATCATCTTCGCCTACATGTATAATTATATTATTATCAATAACAAAATCAATCCTGATATCTCGGTCAAAATGTTCCACAATCAGGTTTTTAGTCTTCTCAACAACCTTTGCCCAGTCATCTCTTGTGACTTCCCCGCAGGCTTATTTTAATAGGGTCATCATCTTTTTCGTGCTGAATGGCGGGGAAGTATTGTGGCGGGCGGCGTAACGTTTTTGAGCCCAAATTAGCTCAATCGCGTTATATTGGCAATGATACGGTGGAATTCTTAGAACGCGATGACCGTACTCCAGAGCCAGTTCATCGATTTTTTTTCTTTAACTAACTCTGCCGCTTTATTTTCTTTAACTAATTATCTCTGGTTTTAGCATCTGCATATTTGCGTCAATGCCTTTTGCTTGTAACCAAGCCACCATTTCTGTTTTTTTATTAGCTTGGGTAGGTGGTTTCTGTATTTGAACCGAGTGATAGGAGGCATTATCCATGAATATTACAGAAGGCTCTGGTAGGCTGGGCAAAAGCACGTTCTGGAACCACTCTTTAAATGTAGTGGCATTCATTTCCTTGTGGTAGTCATTTGTGGTATTTGATTGAAATGCCAGTAACGCGTTCTCCGCAAAGCCGTATTTTGCAGAACCTGCGTGGAATATTATCAGACGGGCCCCCTTACCCATTGGTACTTTCGACTTCGACGCTTGTATATCATCCGTCCAAGAACGGGAAACCGTGTGATTGGCGTTTAGCCATGTCTCGTCAATGAACACGACATTATCCCAGCTATCAATATTTTTTGCTTCTCTCAAAAAACTTATCCGTTTTAAAATTATTTCGTATCGTTCTAATAAAATTTTTCTTTTGTCTGTTTTTTTGTACGAAAAACCAATATCTTTTAAGATTTTGGTTAAAGCAGTTTTACCCCCGCTAAACAGTCCAGCTTCTCTTAACGATGCCAAAAGCTTCTTCCTGTTGAGATATTCATTTCTGGAATAGTAACCATATATATGATTTCTGACTGCATCGGCGTCAAAGGTGTCAATATCTCTCACGGGTTTAGTTCTGCGTTTCTTCTTCGGAGTACGTAAAATATTATCTTCCGTGCCAGTAGAGCCGAACTCTTCTTTATTAATATTTGTTATCGTTCGTTTGCTAACTCCAAGCGCCTGAGAGACGCGTTCTTGTACTTGTTCGACAGGTAACAGCGGTCCGCCATTTTGCCGCTGCCGCTCAAAGTAATCTTGCAGCTTCATGATTAACTCACGGGCTCCACTTTTCAATGTTTGTCCACGTTTAGGCATTATTATGCACCAAAAGTAAAAATAACGCAATACAAAACGCAATTGAAGTCCGATTTAGCGCCGATGTCAGTTTGAAAAGCAGAAACAGTCCATTAAACGAAAGCCGGGTAATCAAATAAAAACAGATCGAAAACACTTGAAGAACGTGGTCTATGCGCACGAAACGACAACAGACGACTGTTTTAGCGTCACAAAATGGCGACTCATAACGCCATTTGGGGTTACCATTTTCAACCTAAATATAAAAATGTTAATTTTTTTCGCGCGTTTGGTTTGGTCGTAGTTTTATTTTTATATTTAATAAAAGTTATCTTATAGTCCATTATTTTCAAATTCTTAAAAAGAAAAACAAAACGTATTACTTTATAAAGTATAACTGTATAAGAACAGATTACGATACTGTTATTGCATGTTATTGTTAGCACAGCACTACAAATATAAAGCGCTGACATAACCTTGTAATAGCGCAGTATAGATTTAGAAAAATATTGGTTACCAAGTTATTTCACACTCAGTTTGGCACAAAATTATAACATTCATTGATTATTGATATAATAATGTTGTTTTAATGCTCATCAATTGTTAAAACTTTAAACAACCAGCAAAAATATTTTTATCGTAACTGCAACGCCATTACAAAGTTACGTCGTCAGTTCAATCGCGACGTGTCAGGAACGCATTCTCTGAACGGCCGAACTATAATGATCGCGACTCGAACGGATCTCAGTAATCTCAGTTACAACACACACACACACACACACACACACACACACACACACACACACACACACACACACACACACACTCGGCACTGTGGTCGAGTTATTAATGAATTTTATATTGACACTGTAACTGGTCGGAGTGAACTTCATTGCGCCGTATTCCAAACAGGGCATCAGAACAGTCTACTAAGACAGCTGTTGAATATGGGAAATTTAAAAATATAACATATTTAATATTTAGAAGCATCATATTGTTATTTTCGTAAAGTATATAATTACGAAATACTGTGATTACTTACGTGCCTTGGCTTTATTTCGGCTTCTATCGGCCTAGCGAGTACCAACTTATATAAATCATGACAAAAACCCGTCATCTGGTAGTTTTATTAAAAATTCTTCCGACCCAGGCTGACATATGTTCAATTTCGACGAGGGACAAAAATGAATGGCGAAAAAAAAACAAAGTTCAATCTCACACTATTCTTCAAGGGAATTTTAATACTTTGTTAGAGAATAAATTACAATCCTATTCTATTCTTATATTATAGAGAGAGTGTGAGCAAATTTTGTGAGTTCGTTATATGGACGATAATCAAAAAAAAAATCACCATTTGAAATACATAATAAATTATTCTTTTATATATGACTTAAAGTTACAATGATATTTGTCAACTAAGTCAGAAAATGCCTCTTGAGAGCTTTCACAGCGTGCGCAGCGTCAATATCCACTACTTCATATCATCTAGTGGTTGCTGTAAAAGGTCGCTGCCTAACTCCTGGTACAGCTTCCCTTTGTACCAACAGATGATCAGTAGTTCTTCCTAATAACAGCTGAATAAAAATAAAATACCCGCTAATCAATCGAAGCAACTTAGGCAAATATAATGGGGGACGCATGTGTTCATGGTATCGTAATGATATGATTGTTGGCTTTTTTAAGGTACCTTGATGCTCATGATCAGGGCTCTTAGGTTTTTAAGTCGTACGTATATTTAATTAAATGACATAAAAAAATTCGGTGGTCACTTTAATAAATTGACCACCGAATTTTTTATGTAGTACAGCCACGCTGCAGCTATATTATGGTTGTAGCACGAATGTGTCGGCTCGACCGAGGAAGGACCGTGCTTTCACAGAATACCGGCGTAAAATAGCAGCTTAATACTGCTATGTTTCGTATGGTGAGTGTAGAGATTTTTTATGGAAACGAGGCATTCCAACTTTGTCCTCAGGGGCAACGACAAGATAGTGACAACGCGTCAGCGTTTTGATTCTTAATCGAGGATACACTTACCATCAGGTGGACTGTGTGCTCGTTTGTCACCACTATTCTATAAAAAAATGGTATTCAGCAGTATATCTGTGTAGCTCTCGCGAATGCTCGAGCGCGATATTGGCTCCTGAAACCCAGTTTGACACTAGTTCAGAAGCCTATGGATTCAATGAAATACTTATTGTAATATTTTTATATCGAAATAAGAAACTTCTATTCTATAATCCTGTGCTGTGCAGATAGCTCACGATGACCAGTCTCCGTTGAGACTGCCGTGACCGATTTCGGTCTAAACATTATAAATTGTTAACAATTGTTTTTTGTTGCAGTGTATATCATCCTGTGTGATCAAACTACGAGTGAAAAGAAGAAGTGAGACCAAATTACGTGAGTCTATCATATATTCTATTTTTATTTTATTTTTATAATCTTAGAGTGAAATAAACCCTAACAGTCCGAAGCTAAGTGCTAACTGCAGCGCAACAAGCTATTGTCTATGTTACCCGCGTAATTATGACATATTGATTGCGATAAAATTATTCGGACCAAGTTTATCGACCTAATTGGCTATAATATAATAAAATTAGGTCAAATTGAAAGTGCCTTAACCGACAAACGTGTATGCATATATATTTGTAAGAAAGTCTGTAGTCTCTACCTATACCTCTGTATAACAGGTAAGATTGAGATATCGAATGTCAAACACTGACGACTTTAGGGGTTTATGAGGGAGTTAATAGTTTATTAATTACATATATAGTTTTAAGTACGTTTTTTCTACAGTACATTATTTACACTTCACGCCAAGACCATCAAGGCCTTGCAATTTGTAATTTCCTTGAACGTTTATTATATTTATCATTAATTATAGTTCCCTATACAATACTTGTCCTTCACTCAACGTCATATTAATGGCAGAGGCTAAAACTTTATATTATTACATTATATACTGCCTTATTACAAAAGTAGTTTAAATGTAGTCTCAGTTTGAAGAAGAGTGGGTTTTAATGAAAAATTCCCGTGGAATTTATTATGCGAATTAAAATCTAAAGTATGTAATTTGACAGGGTCTTTCTATGACCGCCGAGCACGTAGTAAATCAGCACTTAAATCTCGATCGAACCTGGGTTGCTCGCGTACGTGTACGTGTACGTGGTACTATGAAATAAACAGTCATCGCTAAGCCCCTGAGCTACCATGTGCTCGGCGGTGAAAGAAAGCATAGTGACGAAATCGGCTTCTCTCAGAAATAAGAAAAATAATTCCAAGTCGTGGGAGGTTCGCTAACACGCATTGGGGCAGCGCGGCGGACACTTCCTTGCCCTACAACTCTCTCAGAAATTAGCGAGGCCCGTGGCCGGTAGTGGGACGTATATAATACACCCGACCGAGTATAAAACTTTTTATTTATGATTTTATTAAATAAAATCTGTATCTGTCTGTATAAATGAATACGTGGTTGATAATAGCCCTTGGGAATGAGGTAGTCGCTTCACAGCTATTCCTTGAATAAATTTTGTAAATAGTTATATGTATAAAATATATATATATATATATATATATATTAGTACAACCTTTCCCAACGTATAAATTACTTTTTAAACAAAGGTCCTGCTGGGTTTCTTGCTGGTTCTTTCCAGGGCGGAGGTTTCTTACGAAGCAGTGGTGAAAGTAAAAAAAAAATACTTTCACTATGAATTACTCGTAATCTTTATGAATAAAAAATATTCTATTCTATTCTATTCGACAGCAAATATCAAACATGTATAACTAAAGGTAATTTATTGCTTATTACTATAACAAAAATATATCCTAAAACGTTATTGGTTTAATTAAGTCCTGTTGGCACTAATTAGAACCTACTATTTACACTTCTTCTGCCGTAAAATTTGGACATGAGCCTTCTCTTTTATTTTCCAAAGAGTATAAATAATGATACACCGTTATTGCAGTTATTGAACTATTATGAGTTTAATAACGTTTCTATTTTTATTTGAATTACAACTTTTTTTTTATTTTTAGATATATTTAAAGAACAACGACGCGTACTCTGTGGGGGATACAATTCACAACGTTTTTGCCGATGAATGTGTGAGTGCGTGCCTAGTAAAATTCTGTTAAAATGAAGCATTATCTCGCGTTCTGAACTTTAAAAGATAAAAAGGCCAGAATGTTTTAAAACTTTTTTAAATTAACGTTTCTTCTTATAGATTTTAGAAACTAATATGTTTATAACCGCGTAATAGAATAAAATGATGTGTATTACCTAGTGTGCAGAGCATCTCCCGCCCTCCATCAATTGCGTGCCAAATCATCCCCGTGACTAACCCTAGCACCGCCACTGCCAACACCACAACACCAGGAAAGCACACCACCGTTGTTAATACGACACGAATTTTTCCTCAAGTGAAGTAGACTGCGGTGGCTGACTTAGCGCTCATATAATGGTAATATAAATGATGTCCGCAAAGTAACGACTGATTCTATTAATTAACTTTTCTTCACCATTCGCCTATGTTACTTATTCTGAACCTTTTCTGTAAATTTAGACATTTATTGCAAAATAACTCTGCATAATCGTCGGTGCATCAGTTACTGATCGTCTAACTACTGAATGGACTGGACCGAATGAGATCACATTCCTTCGATCAAGAATGTTGGTATTTTTGGTCGAAGTCATGTTCATACAAAGTATTTATTAAGTCAAGACGATGGTTCGTAGCTACTAGAATCCGTTAGGTGGCGCTGTAGAAGTATTAACACAAATAACAATTCTATTTTACAGCCGACTTCAAAAAAAGAAGGTTCATAATTCGAATTTATGTCTCTTTTGGTTTGTACCTATGTTAAGCGATATCTTTACTAATAGATACTTGAGTTTAAAAAAATTTTTTTTATATTAAATGGGTTATATACTATAGGAATTGTCCCATAGGAGAAAACATTCCATCCCTATGAGTGAAAAAATATTACCTTTTTTAGTTCTTTGAATTCGGCTTTAATTTTTTTTAAAGTTATAAATATGAAACAAAATGCCTCTGACCTGTAGATCCTCTGTGGTCGAGTTATTAATAAACTTTATATTCTAATATTCCTTATACTGTAAATAATCCTAAGTAAAATTAGTGTTAAGCTTATCGCAGCACCTATTTAAAAGGGCGGGGCAACATCTGCAAAATCATCTAGTAATGTGTAAAACAAAAAAATATTTTAGCTTAGTAGAGTTTAGATTAATGTACAAACTATCTTACAAATAAACTTTTAGAAATTAACAGCCTTTATAGCAAGTTAGCATGTGACGACATCAAGCGCTTTAGAGAAATGTAAGAGGATAGCTAGTTAACTAAATAAAAAATATTGAAACTATTTAGGTTCGATACTTTGTATTGTCTTTAACAACCAGTAGTATTTAAAAGCTCTCTGGTCAGAGTACCGAGGCTGCACTAAAAGTATCGGGAATGGAATATTTCCACTGTTCCCGTCATATTAAAATCTTTTTAATTGAAAACTCCTTGGTTTTAAAAATCGAATACCATTTATTTATTTAAAAAAAGATTCTCGGTCTTGTCACAAGGTTTTGTCAAACTTGTGTAGTCGTTGAGAAAATGGAATTGACTCGAGAAAATTCAAGAGCGATGATTTATTATGACTTTCGAAGTGTTTTAACACAAAAACAGTGTGTTGACCGGATGATTTCTGCATTTGGTGATGAAGCCCCATCCAAAACCACATTTAATCGCTGGTTTGCTGAATTTCAACGTGGACGTGTCAAGCTCAGTGATGATCCCCGTCAAGGTCGTCCAAAAACTGCAGTCACCCAAGAAAACGTTGATGCTGTGTGTAAGCTGATTGAAGAAGATCGAGATGTGACATACCGCGAAATTCAGGCAACTTTAGACATTGGCATGAGTCAAATACAACTAATCTTGCATGAACAATTAGGTGTAAAAAAAGTTGTTTTCCCGATGGATACCGCATTCGCTCTGTGAAGAGCAAAAAAGCGGCTCGCGTTACTTAGTGCATCATAACTCTCGAAAGATTCCACGCAGGATCCTCAAATGCTGTATACAATATCGTATCAGGTGACGAATCCTAGATATACGCGTACGAACCCGAAACAAAAAACCAGTCACGAGTTTGGGTGTTCGAAAATGAGTTAAAGCCTACAAAAATTGTTCATTCACGTATTGTTGCAAAAAAAAAAATGATGGCCACGCTTGTCTCCAAAACCGGCCATGTTACAAATATTCCTCTTGAGGGACGAAGAACGGTTAATGCAGAATGGTATGCTAGCATTTGTTTGCCACATGTCGTTTCTGAACTCCGTAAAGAGAACTGCAACCGCCGCATTATCCTCCATCACGACAATGCGAGTTCTCACACCGCACACAGAACAAAAGAGTTTTTAGAGCAAGAACACATAGAATTATTAGACCATCCGCCGTACAGCCCCGTCCTAAGCCCTAATGATTTCTATACTTTCCTTAAAATAAAGAATAAATTGCGTGGACAGAGATTTTCATCACCTGAAGAAGCTGTGGACGCCTACAAAGCGGCCATTTTGGAGACCCCAACTTCCGAATGGAATGTTTGCTCCAATGATTGGTTCCATCGCATCGTATGGAAAAATGTGTCAAATTTCGCGGAGAATACTTCGAAAGGCAATAAATACATTTTTAAATAATAATGTTGTGTCACTTCCTTGATTCCCGAAATTTTCAGTGCTGCCCTCGTATCAGGCCAAGTGGACGTTCCGGGTTTTCAATTCCGGCCAATAACTCATTTATTTTAATTTTTTAGGTCTCAGACCAGAAAAATCGGACGTCATGCAGCGATGGAGTGAATTTTATAGAGAAATGTATGCGTGTCATGATCTTAGTGAAGGATCCGGGGGTGACGCCGTGACTGGCACGCCAGACACGGACCTCGATGACACTAGGTCATCAGCATGAAAGTGATTGAACGTGCGATTCGAAGTTTGAAATGTGCTAAGGCTGCGGGACTAGACAGAGTTACTGCTGAAATGGTCAAGTACGGTGGGCCTCGCGTCTGGGACAGCTTCCATCTGCTGTGCAATTTGTGCTGGCGGACGGGAGATGTCCCGGATGATTGGCGATCCGCGGTCATTGTGCCTTTTATATAAAGGTAAAGGTTCACATTTTGACTGCGGGTGCTATCGGGCGATCAGCTTGACTAGTTTAGCAAGTAAAGTTTACTCGAAGGTTTTGACACGTAGGATGCAAGAGAAATCGGAAAGATTCTTATGGGAGGCACAATGCGGATTTAGACCTGGAAGAGGATGCACGGATCAAATGTTTTCTCTCCGCATGATCACGGAGAAGCTTCTGAGTGTTAACCCAGAAGATTTTCTGTGCTTTTGTGGATCTGGAGAAAGCATTTGATAAGGTTATAAGGAAGAAAATGTGGGAACTTTTGCCGGGATATGGTGTGGATGGTCGATTGTTAAGGGCTGTGCAGTCACTTTACTATGACTGTAAAGCCTGTGTGCGGGTAGGGCATGACCTGTCACCCATGTTTAGCGTCCAAGCGGGCGTAAAACAGGGTTGTGTCATGTCTTCCTGGCTGTTCATACTGTATCTCGACAGCTGTTTACAGAAGCTGAAAAATAGCTGTTTGGGTGTGAAATTGGGTGACATAAAAGTTAATTGTCTGCTGTATGCTGATGATGCAGTGCTTATTGCACCATCAGAAGCAGAACTGCAGGCATTAGTCACGTGTATGAAAGAGGAATGTAAAATTAAAGGTCTCCGTTTGAATGCTAATAAAACTAAGGTTCTGGTATTTGAAAAGGACGAAGAGAGAACGAAATGTGAAATATGGGTAAATCAGGAATTTCTAGAACAGGTAAATGAAATTGTATACTTGGGGAGTACTTTCAGCCGGGATGGAAGATGTGATTTAGATGTGGACAGGCGTGTCGCTGCCGGAAACAAAGTCAATGGTGCCCTGAATGCATTAGTAAAAAGGCAAGGCGTGGTGAAGAGTGCACGCCTTGCAATACATAATGCAGTGTTGGTACCGACTTTGTTATATGGCAGCGAAACCTGGGTATGCCAGAAGAAGCATAAAAGCAAGTTGAATGCAGTGGAGATGCGATCTCTTCGTAAAATGTGTGGCGTTACCTTAGCCGACCGAAAGCGAAACGAAGAGATTCGCAATATGGCAGGATTGAAAGATGACCTTATCACAAAAATTGATAGGGGCGTACTCCAATGGTTTGGGCACGTTGAACGAATGAGTGAAGACCGAATGGTGAAGAAAATATATAGAGCGAAAGTAAATATTAAAAGGTGTCGAGGTAGACCGAGACTAACTTTCGAAGACCATGTGAGCAAATTGCTCGAAGAGGGGAGGGTCAAGAGTACTCGGATACCCAGACGTGCATGTATGAAGAAGTTAATGAACCTGAAAGAAGCGAAAGAGGTATGTAAGGATCGTGACACTTGGCGATCTGTTCTCTCTGGCTACCCCGTTAGGGATTGTGCGTGAAGATAAGTAAGTAAGTAAGTAAGTAGGTCTCAGACCAAGGAATATGGATAGACAGACAGACACCATGTAAATTTTAACTTTAACTTCTTTACGTATTGGACACACTCACGCACACATTTTTCTTCTTTCTATTCTTATAAGCCCATGTAAGTTCACTGCTGGACGTACTTTTCTTTCTAATTATAGTTTTAATATACATTTATTATGAGTTTACTATCGGTGGCCTCCGACTGACAGAGTCACCATGTAATGACGTTGAATGAGACAACCTTTCTGTTCCAAGTCCTGTTTAGTATTGTCTTTTAGTTTATAATAGGTGTTACATGTGGATACCGTGAGCCATACTATAACACGTACTCCTAAAACCACTTAGTTGATTGCAACTTTTTTTGTACTATTTATAAGTGTGTTATAGATATTTGCCAATTCCATCTGATGGTAAGTTGATAAGAAACTCTAGATAGTAAATCACACTACTATACCGAAACGGAAGACTATTTGTACTTTATGACCAGATTCAACATTTTAATCGGATCATGATCTTAATTGGAAATAATTATAGATGCGTGTGTGTGCATCAGTGCGTGTTCTTACAGTGGGTTGGGCATGGTTTCGGCTTAATTTCGACGTCACTTGAAACGTAAATAATGTTCTGCGTAGTTTTAGATCTGATTAATGCCTTCATTGTCACTGATTCTGCATCCAAGTATACTTTAATTGTGGAAATAGTTTTGGAGAGAAATCGTTTTCTTTAGGCGTTTTAGCTTTCAGTATAGCAAATTATTCTACTAAATCAAGGAATCCTCAGAATGTCTATTCGAAGGTCATAGGTTCAATATTTTTGTTTTTGGATAATGTTGCGTCTTTTTTAAATTTTATAATAAAAATTAAAAAAAAAAAAAAAAAAAATAAAAAGCGTAAGGTAACTAAAAGTGCAAGTTGACCGTCGTTCATGTGGTAAATGTTTTTAAAACTACGATTAACTATTTCATGGGTGCTGGCGAAAATCGAACCCAGCTTTTTTTATAGAATATCCGTGACAAACGAACTCATACTCCACTTGGTGAAAGATGTATACTGTAGCCAATAGATATCTACATCTATTCTCTGTTAAGAATTAAAATTCAAATGTGTTGTCACACCTGAGGACTAAGATGAAATGTCTCATTTGCAGTAATAAGGGTCTCCAGTTCTCTACATTTACCATAGGGGACACTGCAGCATTATGATGCTATTTGACATTGGTATTCTTTGAGAACGTGGTACTTCTTCGGTCGAGCCGACCCATTCGTGCTACAACCGTAGCATAAGTGCAGCATATCTCTACCACATAATAGTAAATCAGTTTTTAAAACTGAAATTAACAATTTCATTAGTGCTGGCGAGAATCGAACCCGGCATGCTTGCGTACTGTGACTTTTTCGATCAGCGAGCGCTTTTTTTTGTGTGACAAACAAGCACACAGCCCATGTGATAGTAAGTGGATGCTGTAGCCCATAAACATCCACATTTATCCTCAACTAAGGATCAAAATGCAAATGCGTTGTCACTCCTAAGGATGCAATGCGACACCGTAGTAGAGTAACATGCAATGCCACAATTCCAGTAAAAAGGGTCTCCGGTTCTCTACACTCACCATACGAAACACAGCAGCATTAAGCTACTATTTTATGCTGGTATTCCGTGAGAGCGTGGTCCTGCTCCGGTCGATTCATTCGTGATAGAACTATAATATAGCTGCAGGGTGGCTCTTCCAAGTAAATGTTTGAATTAGCCTACTAGCTATCATGGCACACTACCTTCCATCATCATCATCAAAGCCTATCAACGTCGACTGCTAAACATACCCCTCCCCAGTAGATTGCCTCATAGAGATCTCCTAGAGTCTTAATAAATGACATAGTTCTGAAGGTGTCATATTCGCCATGTATGGCAAGCTGGTGGGCAACCGCAGTGTTTTTATTATTACTTTGAGTTGTTATCATAGATGCTGGTCTCCTGTTTTATTTCCCTCTTTTCGCCTCTCATGACACTTACGGGATGATATGGGGTGGCGGACACTCTAACGCTGCCGTCATAAGTCACTACCATTACCATTTTATAATATCCATCCATTACAGCCTATAATAGTCCGCTACTTAGGCCTCCCTCATAGATTGCCTCATAATGCAGCTTTTACTATAGTTGGCATGCTTGGCAGGCGGATTGGCAACTGCAAATTTTGATTATTTTAAGTCGTTATCAGGAAGATACGGCTGTAAATCTCCTGTTTAAGTTTTCGTATACAACATTAACATTTTATAATATAGTCCACTTTTAATTTCCTGAAAAGCTTTTATCTAAACATCGCCGCAAATCTACAACCAGCATTTCCCAATACATTCCCTTTTGCAGCGACGCGATTGTAGTGCTCTTTGAAGCGCTAATGTGATTAAGAGGTGAGTGCGAAAGGCTTCGAACAACCCTAACTAGACAAATTTGTAATACCGAGACATAAAGTCTAAGTTCGCGTGGAAATTGCAAATTTTGTTTTGGATCATCTAGGTAGTTAGACAAAGTTGTAACGATGTGGAGCAACTTTAACGTTGGAACGTTGTCGCATTGCATATCCTATTCCCAGTGAATCACATTCGTGTAATTGTGCGCACCCGCTGTTTTCGCTGGACACAGCCTTTGAGGTTACTGTTCCAGTGTTGTCAGCTTGAGAACATTTACACAAATTAATGTTATAATTTTGATTTACTAAAATAATATATATAGTAGAAATAGTTAATATAGTATTTTAAAAATGAAAGTGTCGTATATATAGAATTATTTTTTATGCACAATTGTAGGTTTTTTCAAAGTACCGCTTTGTGGCTTCTACACTCAGCTCCGTAATAGCCTAAAAAAAGTCTTATGTTGAACATAGGAGGCCTATAAAGTGGGATCCCTATAAAATGCCTCATAGCGTGGATAGTTTCCATAGTTGAAACCACAATTACTTCTTCGTTGTTACTAGGAATAAGCTGCAAATGGTATGGGCTAGTGGATATTCTTACACTGCCACTACACTGTTGTTTCCGTTCAGCATGCATATTATGAAAATATCTCTCAATTTATGCATAAGACTTGGCACATTCTTTGTAAGGGTCTATTATAGAGTAAAGAAATGTTTGCTTAACAATAATTTTACTATGACGTAGTTCCATGTGTTCGGGTCGTAAATACTCGCTTTTTGAAACGTACTTGTAAGCCATACGGTGAATGGAGGCGTCATAAGATAAATTATTAAGAAGCTACACGGGAGCTTATTTCTTGTAGTATTTATACCAACAGTGGAATTTACCTGAATTCGTACGAAAACTTGATTGATAAGACTTTCTGTATTAGCACTTAGTTGAGTAAATGAAACAATAGTATACTTTATGTGAAGAGCATGCCTTCTGTACATTATTATTAGTTTCACTTATTTTATTAAATTAATACCTTTTAAGACAAGTCAAGCATTGATACTACGGGGTAGGGAACCGAAACGCATTATGACATGCTGATTGACTAAGGATTGCGGAGATGAGGACGTAATCTACCGTCATCACTTATTACACCTGTCAATACGTTAAGTCTTCTTCTTCATCATATACTAATCTGAAAAACAAGAATATCTTTCTGTGACTATTTTGCTAAATTAAATAATCATAATAACTAATAAAAATAATCAACGTGCAGTTGGAAAAAAATCAAATTTTAATCCTACAGGCAGACAACGGGGTGTAGCACATATCTTTTTACTCTACATATATGTACACTAAATGTGTACAAGACTCCTTGATTTGTGTCACCAGGCCGCTTGCTCAGGATCGAATATATATTGTATACATCCTTCAAGTCGTAATTGGCAGTTGGCACTTTCACCAATGTTCAGCAGCTGACTTAATAAGGTTGTTGATGAAATGTAGGAATGAATTTTCCACCTCAAAGGCTAAATACGTTGGTAACTTGGCAACACTGCGTAAAAACTCCGTGTAAGTGAGAAGGAAAACTGGTTGTCGAGTCACCGTACGCCCGCGCCTTTACCGGTGCGTTTCCAACTCGGACAAATATTATTAAACAATTACCTATGTTTTGGCTTATGAAAACATTGTTTGAACAATACGAGTGTCGTTCAACGTTCCGCGGATGCGAATCAGTGTGACATAGTGCAGTATTGTGCCTAGAAAGTGAGCAGTGGTGTTGGACAGAGGTGAGTGAACTTGTCCCGTTTCATCAAGGCTCTGGCTAGTCGAACCTTTGGATTTTCTTCTGAATTCCGATGGTTCTAAAGCTACGAATAAGGCGTAACATTACTGATTTGTTTTTCTTTGATTAAGTCCAAACAAAAGTTTTGAGGACATCTTACAACGTAAATTATTATCCTTGTACAACATATTATGATTCACTCGCATAACATTAATTTCTGAGTAAGTATATTTTACCCATTTATATTATCGTCGATAGCCAAATTTTAAGAAATAAGAATTAACTTTAAGCAACATTTTATAATAATATCACGTCAATTTCAGTGTTTTATTAAGAACAGTTACTAAATAAATGATTCTATAATTCCGAATCATTTTACCGTATCTATCCAGTGAGAAGAGAGACATACATGTCGACAAAATACCGGTTCGATTATTACCGAGAACTGGCCTGAACTACAATATATAAACCTTCCTCATTTCGAAGTTAGTGATGGAGTGACCCGCTCACTATTCACAGTTTTGTTGATCGAAATTATTCTTGATTCCTATCGGATTTCGAAAAGACGGCAACATTAATTTACTTCGTACTATCGCGAGATTTCGAACTGCAGTTTTCTTTTGTGGATTTTTAAGTGCATTTCACAGCCATTACTACAATAAGAACAAATTCAGTCAGATGTTGTGCCATTTAAACCCGCACCTAAATTATTAGATTGTTCATAATAATCGATCGCGGTCGTAAAATATTCTAATTGGTTGTAGAAATCAACTTTGAAGCATTTATTCCACAGAAATTTGAAATAAATTTATTAAGAATATAATGAATACCTATTTTATTCTTGAAATGGTGCTTCAGAGAGAATTTAATGTATACGATAGTGTTAATAAGAAAAATACTTTTTTTTATTATATGCGAGCAGCTATGCAGGTCTAGGTAAAGAGACCAGTATCACTGCGACCTAAAAGATCTATTGTGATCGCTGCTATGGCTATAGTTTACGGCTAAGCCCTATGTATTTAATGAATCGAAGGAGTTGCTTAGCCGTGAGCAATTTCACTTCTTCTGGGCGGAGTAGATAGTGTCCCAGATGAGTGTTACGTTTGCGCATTAAGGGTCCGCAATCAGTTAGGATGTGTAAAGGCGTTTCTTCCGTTATGGAACAGTATCGACACATCCTTGAGTTGCTTAGTCCCAGGATGGACATGTGCTTTTTAAGACAACAGTGTCCAGTTAGGGCTCTTGCCAGAATGCGCAATTTATTTTTACTTAATCCCAGGGCTTCTGAAGCGAATTTACGATCAAAAGCCCGGATTAAGGTTTTAGAATGTTTTAAGCCTGGTGTGTCAGACCAGATCTTAAGTGATTTATTGTGATAAAGAGTTTCAAGGGTCAATCGGGCTAGGCTTCTTGAGATTCCACAAAGTGGCTTAGGTCCAAATTGTTTGTCGGCAAATTCGTTGCCTACAATACCCACGTGACCCGGAATCCATCTTAAAACGACCCTTTTGTTACATCCCAGGGCGTTTAAACGGTTCACGCAGTCTCCAACTAGCTTTGAGTTCCCCTAAGTTTGATCTCAGCGCTAGCAGTGCTGCTTGACTATCAGAGTTCATGTAAATTTTATGGTTGATGTAGTGTTTTTTCAGATTGATATCCGTACACTGAAGTATGGCGAAAATATCTGCCTGGAAGATAGAGGTGTATCTACCCAAATTCATACTAAGTTTGAATTTGGGGCGTTCCCCGTAAATTCCAAAGCCTACGTCGAGGCCCATTTTAGACCCATCGGTACACCATATGAGGCTACCGACCTCACAGATAACCTGGCCATTCAGCCAGTCTTCTCTGGAGGGTAATTCCACTATATACTTTTTATCAAAAGTGTGTAGTGGACGCATGATATCTGAGATCATGCATGAGACCGGTGATTCCTTAATTGAGTCGAGTATGGATCTCAATCTGGAGGAGTGCAAGCTCAGACCGCCCTGGGCGTTAATCCTATACAAACTAGCCCTCGCCTACTTGTCTAGATAGACATCAAGGGGCGTTAGACATAGAAAAGACTCATCCGACCTGCACGCTCGCACATAATAAAAAAAATAGACATAGAAGTGCATTAAGAGCCGCTCCAGGCGGTGATCGTATAGCTCCAGTTGCCATTAAGCAGGCAGTCCTTTGTAGACTAATTGTAGAATAATCAATATCTAGAAAGGCACAAAGAGCTATTTCTTTATCCTCCAGTGCTTTTTCGACCCTGTCAATGACACTGATCAGGGCTGTTTCCGTAGATTTGCCTCTGCGGTAAGCATGCTGGTTGTAATGTATGGGCCTCGTAGCTGGAGCTACATCCCTTATATATCTATCTATAACCTTTTCCAATGTCTTAAGAAGAAAGGAAGATAGGCTTATAGGTAAGTGTAGACTTTGGTGAAGCGTAGTCCTTTCTACCAGCCTTAGGTATAAATAGAACCTTGACAATTGTCCATCGTTGTGTGAAACCCGAAAATTTTGGACCCATTCCCGGTTACGACCCACAGGCCGTTTTAGCGATGGCCTGTGTTGGTGCCCGGTGGACCAGCAGCATCTGCTCTACACTCATAGGATTCGAATTAGGATTCCTATACGCGCGGAGCCAGCTACGGCACTGAAGCTGAGCTTCTTCTCCTCCGTTGCCAGCTTCACAGTCTTCCTGGGCTGGTCTTTGGGGGACTCTTTCTCAGACCGACTACGTTTTTTTCGCCTTCGGAACTGGGGGAGGCTTTGGCAGAGGAATTTCGTCCCAAGGTTTCTGGCAGAGAGAGAGGACCTCTTCGGCTCCAATCTCAGCTGTTATCAGCCTTCGGTACCTTTTCCTCGCTGCCCCACTAAGCTTATAAGGCCTAGCGAACTTTTTCTTTTCCCCTCCCTGGTTCGTTTCCGATTTTGGTTCGGCTGCAAACGTGCCCTCCAGTTCACGGCTCGTCGCAGGTTGGGGCGCACTGTTGCAGAGTGTTGGTGAGGCTAAAAGAGCCTCTTCCAAACCTACAGCTAATTCCATTAAAGGAGACTTCTCATTGTCTTTTACAAAATGTCGGTTTTCATCGATTTTGTTCCCACGATTAGCTAGGGAAATACTTGGTCACCCCCGGCAGAGCCCGGCATGCCGAGGGAAGGGCTAAAATACTACCCGAATCAATAAAAAAAATATCAATCAATAAAACAATCAATAAAATACTACCCGAGACCCTGGTCTCGGGTAGGCACTGTTTGCGACTGGACTCAAACCCTCCAGCCACGCATCCATCGGCACGGTACGCTTGACACCTTGGATTGGGTTAGGATAGGAAAAGGGGGGAGGGATAAAAGAAAAGAAAAAGAGGATCGTCCGAATGTTTCTTCTGTTCTGTCTGTTTCCTATTGAACCAGACCAAATAACACGCGGCAACCACGTGAAAGAGAACTCCTCAGACTTGCCCTGGGGATCAACACGACCTGCGCTTTCCCCAAGAGCCATACGCCAAGCTGCTCGCCGGACAGGAGAGCGGAATAGGTGTTAATCTAGTCCTATTTATAATATCAAAAAGTTAGTTAGTAGACTAACCCCCGCCCAAGAAAAATACTTACAAAATTAAATCTTTTGGACAAATATTCGAATTTTATACCTCATGTCTGCATATTAGGTAAAATTAAAAGTTGAACAGCGGTTTTACAAGAGATTTGTATTTGAGTAAGGAACATTAAAACTTAAGCGTGAGTTGCATATACAAGTAAGATGTTTAACAAAATTTAAAATAAATGTGTATTTACATTTTTGAAAATTTTTGACTAATACTTATATTTTCTTATTTTTAATATTTTACATGGGCAAAACACATTTTCTTAAACCGAAAATGCTTTCAAATTACTTAAGAATTGTTAGTGTTGTGTATTTATATTAATCGTATAAAAATAAAAGTCATTGCATATTTACATTTGTTTTGTAATCCCAATGACATCATTTTAAATGTTGTATCGAGTGAACGCAAATGTTTTATTTGGGCTGTATCCGATTTTCTAAAAACTTCTTACAAGAAATATCTACAATTTAAAAAATTCTTAGAGCTCTTAGAAAAATGAGGATGCAATTTTTTTTTGTTAGTTTATAAATTAAATAAATTTTTAGTACCTATGTTAATTAATCTTCAACACTGAAAAACTATATTATGATAATGGTTATTTAACCGAAACAAAGGAATATATCCAATTTTAAGTAAAAGCAAAAATTATCGAAACTATTTCAAAATTACTAAAAACTAAGTAATCTGCTGTTTATAGAAACTAAGTAATTTATTATGGTTTTCAATTTAAATGAATAGCTTTTTTAAAGAAAAAATATATCAAGGCAAGAACTACTATTTTCGCTTTATTTCATTGAATATTTTTACAAATTTGGTTTCAATTTAACTTTTTTTTTAATCCGTGGAGTGTATGGAACTGTACATGTCCTCTCATTTCTACGAGGGTTTTTTGTGTCTTCGCTATGTTTTTTTTTTCTTATTTCTCAGACGTGCAGGTTTTCTTACGTCGTTTTCCTTCTCCACCAAGCACGTGGTAAATCAGCACTTAATATTTGCAATTAATTGGTGCCGGCGGGGATCGAACCTGGGTTGCTCATGTACTGTGAAATGCACAGCGAGCGCTTAGCTCCTGAGCTGTCACAGCTCTACTATAACGTTATAATTTTGTAATTAAAATGTTATTGTAGCTAATAGAAAATATAAAAAGATTCTTTACCTTGAGACAAGTTTCCATATTTACGATTTATGTATATTTGATTTACTAATTTTTGTTTACTAGGTAGGTAGTCCTAGTCTGATATCCCAGTTTAATTTTAAGAGGGTGAATATGATAAAATAAATTCAATGTAGCCGCGACCATGATTCCAAGCAAAAATATAATAATCGCCTTTGCAAAAACCTGATAGCCTTGAGGCCTAGGATCCAGATTCTGAGTTCAAAAGCGGCTTAAAGATTTGTAATAAAA